TTTTTCAAAATCCGGAAATCAGACATAGTTTTAGATTGGTATCTTAGAGAGCTATAATTATATCATAAAAATAAAGACATGACTCAACCAATGCTGTGCAAAATGTAAGCTCAGAGTACATATTTTAAATCTTAAAGAGTTCACCGAAAATATTGAACTCTTTACTTATCTCTAACAAACTACCCCTATCTTCTTCTTTAGCTGAGCTAATCTTTTCTAAATATTGGCAATGTTAAGCAAGGTCAGCCACCTGTTTCTCCAAACTGGCAATCCCTTCACAGATATCCGCAAACCACCCTGATAATGTAAGCAAAACAGGAAGTTCTTCAGGCAGATCTTCCCAAGCGATTTCAACAGATGAATTCAATATCCTAATCCTCGTCTTTTCCATTTGGAAGCCCACTCTCAAGGGTTTCCTTTCTCCATTCGCCGGGGGCTTCCCTCAAAGCGGTCATTGTCTCCGGACAAATAAAAAAAAAGCAATTCCAATTACAAGCCAACAAAACACAACAAACGAAATTTTTCGCAACCGGCAGCTGGCGGAAAATAAAAAATAAAAAATAATGTACGGGTATCTACAAAAGAATCGCTGCCCATGACTCATGTGACTGTGACCCAATGAGCAATAAGCAATAAGCAATAAGCGCCCAGCACCCACAAGATACAGATACTCGGGCTCGGGCGTACACGTCTTTGGCAACCCAAGACAAGCGAAGCGATTACAAAGAAAAATAATTTGCGCAAATGGAAATGAAAGAGAATCGAGAACGATCAGTCATCGTAGGGAAATGTTGCCCCCCACTACTGCTAATCTAATCAAATCAAATCAATGCCGTCAGGACCGCCCCTCATATACGGTTACGGATCCCTAAAGTACACCAAACCGATCCCTACACTTGCAAAATAGTTCTACCTAGTTTTGGAATTTCGGTACAAATAACAACTTTACTTGTAGAGATGGGATTTTATAAATAAATGAAAGCAGAACTCAAACTATTAAAATCAAAAATAAATGTAATTAAAACTATTAATATGTAATTTTGTATCTGGCAAGTATTAAATGCCTTTGTGTTAAAAAATCTGTAAACACAGAAAATAATCCTAAAGTGCCTTATTTTGTTTAGCATTATACATTATTTATTTAAATGCTTAAGTGTGGAATAAATATTAAATGTTGATATTTCAATTCTTTAATTTCTTTCATAAAATTTAGAGAAATGCATTAATCAAAGCTAGATTAATGTTGTTTGCTCAGCATTACACCCCATTTTTTTGAGTGTTCCCCTGCGATCCTGCAACATATTGTGCAATCCCAGGGTCTAAGCCAATTCTTTCTATACCCCAGCACTTCCTGGCTTACACCAACTGGCCTGATCGATCGATCGGGCGATAAAGAAAATCATAAAATAAGAGAAAGAAAGAAAGGTACAAGGCAGGAACAAACAATTGAACGAGGATTGTAACAAAATCCTAGCCAAAGATATCGCGGCAGCAGCAGCAGCAGCACCAACCAATCTGTTTACCTGAGGAATCAGGATGATGACGATCTCGAGGAGAGATGGGGTGAGGTGAGGAGTAGGTGTTTTGGGCACCGAAAGACGATGTTTGCACGGTCAACTTTCAACACAATTTGTAGGCTACCTGCAGTTTGCCCAGACGGAGGCTTGGGTGTGGGTTTTCCTGGGAACAGAGAGCAGAGTCCCGCGAAAGGGAGAGATCCATCTTAAAGCAAGCCATACCATCCCATTCGATCCCATCCGATCCAGACCAAACAAGCTGCTTGGCTAACTGGCTGACTGATACGCATCGCCTGGGATGTGTTTGGTTAATCAGCACCTGTCGACTCAACGGGCGTCGACAGGTACAACTACAACTCGCACGGAGCGCCTTATACACAGTTGCGATCGAAATAATAGCACTGCAAATCAAGGGTTTAGTTGCATCTGGAGGGGTTTTATTTGTCAGTTTGAGTGGTTATTGTTAAGATAATAACATAGTAACTTTCGATTGCAGTCGTAAACTGAGTGCCCCGAACTTAATTGCACATGAAATAAACACAAAGATTGTGATAATTTGTTCAACTCTTATTTGAAAGAAAATTTTATTCTCAAGCATCTTAAGTTAGGTTGGTATATTTGGTAAGCGAGAAACTTAGCAAACTAATAAATATGTATTTACATTTAATTTTTTTTATAAATTTTACATTTATTTTCAACAGTTTTCAGAAATGTACAAATACTTTCAGCTAGCAGATAAAACAATACAACTGTTCTTGTGATATAAACAAAAAATGATTAAAGTTCGTAATAATATAATTTGTTCTTGTGATTTAAACAAAAATAATTAAACTTTTACTTTTCATAAGTTGTTAACATAATATTATTTTGTTTCATTATATACTATCGATTCATGTTATTAGTTCCTATTTTATTCGCCATTGAACTAATCTTTAATAGACCTTTAAGCTTTAAAGTTAAAGTTATTTATATATTTCAAGTAATTTTGCTTTTATAATAAGCATTTTTTTAAGTTTTATTCAATTGCATATTTTTTGTCCAATTGGAAAATGTTAAATATATGTTAAACCTTAAAAATCATTTTCAGCTTTATAAGTAAAACAACGATAAATACTATTAAATGTTAAACCTTAAAAATCCCTTTATACAGAGTATTAAACTTGCAGCTTTATAAGTTGATCAACACTTTTTTTAATTAAAGAACAGACATATGTATGAAGTATTTATTCTGTCGAACCCAGCTGTTTGTGTGTTCTATATAATCCAGTAGCGATCTGTTTTGCCCGTTTCATGGTTTTTGAGAAAGTTTGAAAGTGCTAATACAACATATGGGCAGCCAGATCATGCGAAACAATATCAGATTCGTACTCAAACTCGGACTCGGAACCCCCTCCGAACCTTAAGTCGACTCCATCTGCGGCTCAGGTCGTAATGAGTAAGCACCGAGTTCGAATCTCCCCGACAAATCTCGATTGCCAGCCGGTCCGGTCCGGTACGGTGCGGTCCAAAAGAAATACCAACAGTCCGAGTCTGATTCCGAGTCCAAGTGCGATCCAATCCCAATCCCAATCCCACCAACTGCTGCGGCTGCTCTCATAAATCAAGAAAAATCAGTCAATTTTTTTTGTGGACTCGCGTGTGTGAGTGTGGTGTGCGCCTATATCAAACTGACATTGGCTGAATTAACAATTGATTTCAATAATTTTTTATGATTATTCCCCGCTTTTTTTTCGTCTCGTTTTCGGTTTTTGTGGCTGTCTGCAGAAGGCAAGCAAAGAAAAGCCGAAGATCAGCCACTTGCACTCAATTCCATTCCGTCGATTCAGCAGATCTCTCAGCTCTCATTCTCTTCTTCTCTGGATGTATCTCAACCGCTGAATACGGAAAACCACTCAATTTTCAGAGAGCTCAACTCTCAGCTGGGTTTTCTTAGAGCACAGAACTCGTCTAACCGGTGTGACGAGTGTCAATGTCTCATTGGAATTGGAATTGTTTGCTCGGCTTTGACGCTCAGCGGAACCGACAGGCGGGAATCGAAACGGCGGGGCGGGGAGGCCCACGGTGCCGCACAGTGGGCTTGAACGGCAAGGTGCCGGCTGTGGGTGCGAGCCCACCGAGTTTTTGTTTGAAGATCAAGGTTGCTGGCGTGACAAATATTTGAGGTGCGGACTAATTCGATTTGTATTTGCAAATTTAGAACCGGAAGTCATAAAAGTAATGGTTGAGATCATTCCTGTGTTTCTTCATCCTGGTCGAATTGCAAGTTTTATTTGTATCTGAAAAGATACCACCATGTGCAAATAAAATTTGTCACGCTTTAAAAATAATAAAATTTTTAATAAATGTTCCATTAAATTACTATTTAATATTGCATAACGCCCTTTAATGCCTTAAGAAATATATCCTAATTTTACATATATGTTTTTTTTTAATTCTGAGAAAATTGTGTTTTTATTCTATCATTTTTTTTTTATCAATTTTTCAAGTATGTTACTTTGTGGAGCTAATAAACCTACAAGTCATCTATAAATTTAAATTAATTTATAAGTTTTCAAATTAGTTTTTGCCAAATTATTATAAAAAAGGCAAAATATAGAAAGGTTCGTAACATATTTTTCTTATTATTGGCAAGTTAAGCATTCTTACCATTTACTCTATTATTACTACTTATTAAATTATAACCACCTGAATAGATTGTTCTACACAACAGGGCATTAAATAATGTTACTAGAGACTTAGATAAGCATATCTCTTCTGAAAGTTTTTGTACGGATAAGCCTGCACCTTTTACAAGGTCTCATTTTGTTGTCCTGATTTATTGATAAGAATTATGTTTCATTTCGTGTTTAATTTCCTTTTGAGGATTACTTTGCCGCACTTGTTTCTTGGTTTCCTGTAATGCAATAGATGTCGCAACTATTTACTTCCCTAGGGAACTCTTTTTATCAGAGCAGCTGATCTTTTAACTGATCTATGATATTGATTTCCTTTTATTTCTCTAGTATCCTTGACCCTTAAGCATTGCAGATTTGGAATGTCCTTTTCTTTAGATTACACATGTTTCTGTAGGCCAATTTCACCTGCCCCTGATCTCCCGCGATCTTACTTCCCATCTGTCTATTGTTGCGAAGCCAATGCAAATTCTACCTGTCCACCGAGTGCAATTCAATCCTATTCAGCCCACTGTGCACTGTGGGCCATTACGTGCGATGCGTTTGCGTTTGCATTGCATAGTTTTGTTTACTCAACCCCTCTCGCTCATCGATCGCATCTCGCTCTAGTTCCTTGGTTCTGTGTGCGTGCCCATTGAGTGCTCACTTACTCATTTACTCACATACTCATTCGGCACCTACTCATCCAGGTACTCAGTTACCCAGCTACCCAGCCACTCAGCCACTCAGACACTCACTCACCCTGTTGAGCGCTTTTCAGCGGCACTTGCTGCTGGCTGAAAGTCGAAGAGAGCGATCAATTTTCGAGTAGACTTTGAGCCGAGCGGACGCGCGTTGTCGTTCAGCGGATGAATTAAAAAAAAAAAAATAGAAGAGAAATATCGCCTCGAAATAATTTAGAACAAGCAGTGTGGCACAATTTATCAAACGCGCTATCGCACCCCCCACTTGGATTACGGTCAACGCGAAACAACAACTACAGCCGAGAAATACTAAAAAGATATAGAAACGAAATCGAAATTGAAAACAAAAAATCAAAATCAAAGCATAAAAGAAATCATAGGCAGCGGGAGAGAAAAAACAAGAAAATCGTTTTAGAAAAAGCATCAAAAAATCGTTGATGTGGTGTTGTGAAAAGTGGCGATTGTGCAAAGCTGTGTAAGCGCTATAAAACCAAAACGAAACGAAACAAAACAAAACCAAATCCCAAGTAAACACAAAAAAAACACACACAAAATGGGCGATAAATAGAACGAGCAGTGAAAGCGCAATAGAAGGCTGCCCCCCTTCCATTTAGCCCCCTTCAAAAAAGTGGCCAAATCGAAGTCCCATTCGCAGTCTAGGATCCATACACAATGCTGGCCACCAGCCACATGCTGTACGTGCTGATCGCCACCTGGGTGATACCCATTTTCGGGGCGGCCCTCAGCAAGACGGTGTTGTACCAGGCCCCAGATGAGTGCCGCTGGTCCGGCGGCGGTGAGCACGACATCACTCTGGTCTGCCACCTGAGGACCATCAACTCGGAGCTGGAGAACACCAACTTTAGTGTGATCCAGCCGCAGAATACGGTGCGCCTGCGCCTGGAGTGCAACGACGCATTGTTCTTCCAGAGCAGCCTGAGTCCGGACAGCTTCCGATCGCTGGTGGAGCTGCGCGATCTTACCATCGAGTACTGCAAGCTGGGCAACCTGACGGACGGCTCCTTTCGGGGTCTGCAGGAGCTGCGGAATCTCACCATACGCACGCATAATGGCGACTGGTCCACCATGTCGCTGGAGATGGCCTCCAACAGTTTCGTGGAGTTCCGCCAGCTGGAGCGACTGGATCTCAGTCTGAACAACATTTGGCTGATACCCGATGGCATGGTCTGTCCGCTGAAGTCGCTGCAGCACCTCAATGCCTCGTACAACAAGATCCAGGACATAAGCAACTTCTATTTTAGTGCCTCGCTGAGCTCCAGGAAGGCACGCGTGTGCGGATCCACGCTGCAGAGCCTGGACCTGAGTGCCAACAAGATGGTTAGTCTGCCCACGGCCATGCTGTCGGCGCTGGGCCGGCTGAGCCACCTGAACATGGCCAGGAACAGCATGAGCTTCCTGGCCGACCGAGCGTTCGAGGGACTGCTCTCGCTGAGGGTGGTGGACCTGTCGGCCAACCGCCTGACCTCCCTGCCGCCGGAACTGTTCGCGGAGACCAAGCAGCTGCAGGAGATCTACCTGAGGAACAACTCCATCAATGTGCTGGCCCCCGGCATTTTCGGGGAGCTGGCCGAGCTCTTGGTCCTCGATCTGGCCAGCAATGAGCTCAACTCGCAGTGGATCAATGCGGCCACTTTTGTGGGTCTCAAGCGCCTGATGATGCTGGATTTGTCGGCCAATAAGATCAGTCGCCTGGAGGCGCACATCTTTCGACCGCTGGCCAGTCTGCAGATCCTCAAGCTGGAGGAGAATTACATTGATCAGCTGCCGGGTGGCATTTTTGCGGACCTCACAAATCTGCACACTTTGATCCTGTCGCGCAATCGCATATCGGTCATCGAGCAGCGAACTCTGCAGGGTCTGAACAATCTGCTGGTGCTCTCGCTGGACTTCAATAGGATATCGCGGCTGGATCAGCGATCCCTGATCAACTGCAGCCAGCTGCAGGATCTGCACTTGAACGACAACAAGCTGCAGGCGGTGCCCGAGGCGCTGGCCCATGTGCCGTTGCTCAAGACGCTCGATGTGGGCGAGAATATGATCGGTCAGATCGAGAATACCAGTATCACCCAGCTGGAGAATCTGTACGGCCTGCGCATGACGGAGAACTCGCTAACCCACATCCGGCGCGGTGTGTTCGATCGGATGAGCTCCCTGCAGATCCTCAATCTGTCGCAGAACAAGCTCAAGTCCATCGAGGCGGGCTCACTGCAGCGGAACAGCCAGCTGCAGGCCATCCGGCTGGACGGCAATCAGCTGAAGTCCATTGCCGGACTGTTCACCGAACTGCCCAATTTGGTGTGGCTGAACATCTCGGGCAATCGGCTGGAGAAGTTCGACTACTCGCACATACCCATCGGGCTGCAGTGGTTGGATGTGCGGGCCAACAGGATCACCCAGTTGGGCAACTACTTCGAGATCGAGAGTGAACTCAGTTTGAGCACCTTCGATGCCAGCTACAATTTGCTGACCGAGATCACGGCCAGCTCGATACCGAACAGCGTGGAGGTGCTGTATTTGAACGACAACCAGATCTCCAAGATCCAGCCGTACACGTTCTTCAAGAAGCCCAATCTGACGCGCGTGGATCTGGTGAGGAATCGGCTGACCACCTTGGAGCCCAATGCCCTGCGACTGTCGCCCATTGCCGAGGATCGCGAGATCCCGGAGTTCTACATCGGGCACAATGCCTACGAGTGCGATTGCAACTTGGATTGGCTGCAGAAGGTGAACCGCGAGTCGCGCACTCAGCCGCAGTTGATGGATCTGGACCAGATCCACTGCCGTTTGGCCTACGCCCGCGGCTCCTCACATGTGTCCCTGATTGAGGCCAAGTCGGACGACTTCCTCTGCAAGTATGCGTCGCATTGCTTCGCACTGTGCCACTGCTGCGACTTTCAGGCCTGCGACTGCAAGATGGAGTGCCCTGACAGGTGTTCCTGCTACCACGACCAGTCCTGGACCTCGAACGTGGTGGACTGCAGCCGGGCCACCTACGAGCAGGCCCTGCCGTCGCACATACCCATGGATGCCACGCAGTTGTACCTGGATGGCAACAACTTCCGGGAGCTGCAGAGTCACGCATTCATCGGGCGCAAGAGGCTAAAGGTGCTGCACCTGAATCACTCCCGCATCGAGGTGCTCCACAACCGCACCTTCTACGGACTTCTGGAGCTGGAGGTGCTGCAATTGCAGAGCAATCAGCTGAAAGCCCTGAATGGCAATGAATTCCAGGGGCTGGATAATCTGCAGGAGCTGTATCTGCAGCACAATGCCATAGCGACCATCGACACGCTCACCTTTACGCATCTGTATCATTTGAAGATCCTGCGATTGGATCACAATGCCATCACCTCGTTCGCCGTGTGGAACTTCCTGCCCAGCTACCTGAACGAACTGCGACTGGCGGGCAATCCGTGGAGCTGCGGCTGCGAGTTCATCGACAAGCTGCGGGACTACATGAACCGACACGAGTACGTGGTGGACAAGCTGAAGATGAAGTGCGACCTGATCAGTGGCAATAGCACCCAGCAGATGGTCATTTACCCGGGAGCCGGTGAGGCCGGTTCGCTGCCCATGGTGCAGTGCAGCCAAACCCTGCCACTGGGCCTGGACAATAGCTTCAACTATGCCGAACAGGCGGGTGGCGAGGGGAACGCCTCGAATGCCACCTCCACGAAAATGATTCTGAATCAGCCGCCGAAACAGGATTACATTCCCATTCTGGTGGCCATTCTAACGGCCTTCATTTTCGTGATGATCTGCACCCTGTTGGTCTTCATTTTCCGCCAGGAGATGCGCGTGTGGTGCCACTCGAGATTCGGCGTGCGACTGTTCTACAATGCCCAAAAGGATGTGGACAAGAACGAGCGGGAGAAGCTGTTCGATGCCTTCGTCTCGTACTCCTCCAAGGACGAGCTGTTCGTCAACGAGGAGCTGGCACCCATGCTGGAGCTGGGCGAACACCGCTACAAGCTGTGCCTGCACCAGCGAGACTTTCCCGTTGGCGGTTACCTGCCGGAGACCATAGTGCAGGCCATCGACAGCAGCAGGCGCACCATAATGGTGGTCAGCGAGAACTTCATCAAGTCGGAGTGGTGCCGGTTCGAGTTCAAGTCCGCCCATCAATCGGTGCTGCGCGATCGCCGCCGGCGTTTGATAGTCATAGTGCTGGGCGAGGTGCCACAGAAGGAGCTCGATCCCGATCTGCGTTTGTATCTGAAGACCAACACGTATCTGCAGTGGGGCGACAAGCTGTTCTGGCAGAAACTCCGCTTCGCTCTACCGGATGTCTCCTCCGCGCAGCGATCCACTGCCGCCGGCCAGGGTTGCCATGTGCCGATCAATCATGCCGCGTACCACCATCACCATCATGTCCACCAGCAGGCGATGCCGCTGCCCCACCCGGTGCATCATCATCAGCAGCAGTTCATGCTGCCCCCGCCGCCGCAGCAACCGGGCAGCTTCCGCCGACAGCCATCGTTGCACCAACAGCAGCAGCAGCAGCAACAGCAACAGCAGCAGCAGCAACAGCAGCAGCAGCAGCAATTGCAACAGCAGCAACTGCGCGGCAGCAACAACGCCACGCAGCAGCAGCAGCAGCAGCAGCAACAGCAGGCGGCCTTGCTGATGGGCGGTGGGTCGGTGGGTGGGCCTGCGCCGCAGATGATTCCCCTGGCGGGTGGCATCCAGCAGCAGAGCCTCCCATTGCCGCCGATCCAACCGACGCCGGCGTCTAGGAATCTGCACATGTGAGTGGGGTCACCATTGAGTAGCGGGTCAGAGGCAAGGTCAGTGTGGGAGCAGCTGGAGATGGCAGTGGAGCTATGTTCTATGAGACACATAGGTATTCAGTATTTACTTTATTGTTACTCTATTGTTACATAAAAAAAAGGGTAGGATTAGGTAGCAGGTTCAAAGCTATGTTTCTAAAAGTTAATAATCTAATTGGTAAACTTCAAACACACTAATGTAGCTAGAAAGCTCTAGAAGATCAAACATCAATATTTCTGCAAAACAACTTATTTTAATGACAACCACAACCGTTTTGTGCCCCCCAAAAATATCCATAAAAGATAAATAGCTTAGACCCGACATTTGTACGATCTTGTTCAGTTATGAAAGGTGATCTAGAATATCTGAAGTCCGAAAAAAAAATACTTACCCTCGCGAATAACAAGTTTAACTTCCTCGGGTTTCAAACAAAAACAAAAAAAAAGGGGAATTGCATTCAATATGCAAATGCGAGCGTTTAGCGATAAAAGCCTAGTTACATGTTAAAATAGCAAAAGTAAAAGAAAAATCGAGTGGGGAAAGAACAGGCAACACCAGTAACAATAACAACAGCAACAAAAGACAACAGTAAAATAGCTGGCGAGCCAGGCAATTGTTGTTTGTTGGCCCTGTTCTGTTTTCTTACGGCCAGCTATTTTCAGTTTCCTGGCTCGCAGCTAGATTCTGAAAATTGATGTTGCATGCAACACACCAACAGCAACTAGCAACCAGCAACTACACCGGGAAAATTTATCAAATTTCAATGGTTATTTTTCAGTTTAAAATTAGCTTTATAAATAAAAAAAAATAGTTAAAATTGCAGAGCAATTCGGAAATATCAATGATATGTTTACATTTCAACAGGTCTCTTTGAATAGAAGTTTTGAGAAAGATGATTTATTCATTTTTAAAAGTCAAAATTAAATTTTTTTTTATAGAAAGTTTTGTTATCGTATTTATTTCCCGTGTAGATCCAACACCAACCAGTCAGTCAGGCAACAAAAGGCAGCAGGCCCAAAAGTATTTCTCTTGGCTTTATTTTTTTTTTTCGTCTTCCTTCTCCTTTATTTAGTCGTTTTTCCAGCATTTTTTTGTTTTTCTGTTTTCCCTCGTTTTCCCCGTTTGCAACGTTCAGTCGTTAGTTCATCTTAACTGCTGCATTTTGCTATAACAAGCTCGACGTGTGTAGAAGATACACCCGTGTATCTGTATCTGCAGCAGCTGTAGTCGCATTCGCATTCGCATTCGTATCTGTATTCGTATCTGTATCTGTGAGTGCGCGGGTCGGGAAAAATAGGCAACGCAAAGCATCACAGAGCTCATGTCTGGCTGGCCAAAAGGAAAATGGTAACAAAAAGCAGACCTTAGACGTTAGAAAACCAAAAAACCTAGACCGTCTGCAGACAGTAGTTGTACGGTTTGAAATTGGTTTTGGTTTCTGTTACTTCCCCTCTCCTCTTGAGCCACAATTACATGTGCTAATCAATGGCAGCAAAATAGATGGCAAAAAGATGTTGCTGATGGGAACAATCGTGTGAGAAGAAAACAATTGTAGGGGACTTAGCTCTGATAAAACGGACTTACATCCAACAATTAATGCCAGTTAATTGTATCCCAGTATGGGTAGATAAAGTCGGGGAAACAGAATTCCCCTATAATAGAGCCATTCGGCCAGATCACGCTATGCCCAGATTTGATTAGAAAACAAAGCTTTCTTTTTTTCCCCAGCTAGTCAGAGATTAAGCAGAAGTAGTCAGAATTTCCCAGAGTGAAACTTCCGACTGTGACCTTGCTGCAGAAGAAAAAAAGATACAAGTTTCCCCGGCAGCCAGAGGAAAACCAAGGAAAAATCGTTGTGGAGAGATCAGCACGTGTGCTGGGTTGTGTGGGCCCCCAAAGTTGTGTTTTAGCCGAAAATCGACAAGGCCAGAATAGGAGGAACATGAGAGCAGAGCCGTACAGATTAGTTTGGTCTTGGCGATTAAAATCTACCTGGTTGTTTGCTACGCCCTCTCCATCTCTGTCCATCTTTGTCCATCTCAGACAATCTCCAGCTCCACTGCCTTGCCAATTTAAAAATGCATTCCAAAAGCAAGAAACCAGAAAACTAGTTAACAAAGTAAACACACACTCTAGATGGATTCACTTGGCCTAGACCGTAAAGAGTTAAATGTAAATAAGTTAAATGCTAATCGTACGTTTATTTGTTTAATCATTGTGATATTTTGTTTTAGCATAAGCCCTAATTTATTAAGATGAGTACCAATTTCCTACCAACCTATGTTTAGAAGTAAACTTATCCTCATTAGTTAGTCTAGTTCGTAAGCTAATAAATCGAATCCGAATCCATCACCCCGCCTACGAGATACAGCCATATTAATTCTATGAACATGATAAAATTATTGTACATAAAAACCAATTGAAAAAGGACTGTATGCACTTACATGAAAAGAAAAACGAATTATGCAACACGAATCAAACAAATTGAAAACATAAATCGACTGATTACATGTGTACTATATATAAATATGCATAACATTTAACTATGATTTACTCGCCGCTTGTTGTAAATATTGTAACTACCCGCAAACCTACGGATATGTATTTTATTTTGTAATTTTATGTTTTCTAGTTTATAGCAAAAAAAACAATGAAAAGAAAAAGCGAAACACAAAAATATATAAATGACAAAAAATTGACAATCCAAAAACTGTCTTGATTCTTTATTCACTCTTTCCCGCAGCTAAAAATTGTATTGTTATTTTTTCGTCTGCCGCTGATAAGCCATAAACTATCCCGCCTTGACATTTGATATGGATTCTTGATACGGATTCCACGTCGGATGGCGGATTCTAATGCCAGCGGTCGCTTATTCCACAGTGCGATGGCGTTTTGCTGTGGCTCTGGTTTTGTTTATGTCAGAGCGGTGTTCTATTACAGTCGAAAAAAATGTGCAAGATAAACACTAAAAGAGCTTGACCATTCCATGACGGATGGGAGAAAGGCGGCGGCGAGAAGCGGGGAGATTTATCGCAAGAGGTTGGGCTAAAAAGTTCTCTTCGTTGGATGATGAAGTTGCTGAGATTCGGATAAATTAATTTCGACTCTGCTTCGCAGATTTCTTTAGCTTTATAGATTTCTTTAGCGACCTGAATTTTGTACATGGACAACCTCGAAACTTAAACTTTCTTAGATACAAAAATTAAGGTTAGTTTTTAGATTACTTAAATGCATTTGATTATTATTATTGGTAAATCGTCACTTTTTGTTTTGGAAACTTTTCATTAGTTTAGTTATTAGTTATAGTTATTTATCATAATTTGTAATTGAATTAAAACTTTTTATGCAGCTTTTTCAATACAATAATTTAACAATCTTAAAAAAGGTTCCATTCATATAATACATTTAACAATATTTTTTTGACACATTAACTATATTTCATAATCATAATCATGTGTTTTCCATATTTGCTAGAACCAATTTTACAATATAGATTTAGCCATTAAATTAATGCAATACCTAAATGTTATTATCATTTTGGCCTAGATTTTAAACACTTTTTGGGATTCTCAAAAAGTCTTCACACAAACCTCGCCACACACTCATCGAACCACATCCCACGATTGTTCCATTTGAATTAATTTTAAACAGAATGAGCCCCCCGCCAGCGCCTTTGTACATATTTATGCTTGCCAAAGATGCGACGATATCTTCCCATGCATATTTTAAAGATATCTATATGGCGGTCGTATCTCATCTACGGAATTATTGGCTATCGTGTGTTTATACTTGCTGCTCGCTGCTCGCCGCTCGCTGCTTTTATTTGAGTCAATGAGCCCACAGCGAAATATTTTTGCCGATTCCGCTGGCTGCCTGGAAACAAGTTCTCCCCGCTACCGATGAATGAATAATTTTTATGATCAATTAAATGCGCAATAAAATTGATGGGGCCCCCACCGCCGAAACATAAATTCACATTGCTTAAATTAGCGAATTTTACAATCAATCATTAGCGGGCCAGTGGTTCGACAAACGGCCTTTGATGTGCAACTTTAGAACGCGAAAAGCGAATGCGAATGCGAATGCGGATGCGAATGCGGATGCGGGGGAAATTGTATCTTGTCTTTGGTATCTGGTGGATACACATATGTCTGTGGCCTGAGTTCAAGACCGGGCTAAACCCTTTTCAATATTTTCATCTCCCCTCCATTTGGGGCGAAACAGAAAACGAAAACCTAGAAAACTTTGCAAAAAAACACGTCAAATATTAAAAACTTTTCTTTGCTTTTACTTTCTCCAAAACCCGCTGGCATATATATACATCCACATCCTCATCCACATCCATATCCCGAGTACCATTCCCATTCTCATACCCATACCCACATATCTCTCCCCGTTTTTCCTTTATTTTATCAATTTTGCCTGTGGGATTTGTTACAAAGTAACGGATGAATTGAAGTGGTAAAAGGGAAAGAGTGCAGACACCGCCAATCCAAGAGGCAAACTTTCAATTGAATTTTTTGTTCACGTTGTTTCCTTTCGGGTAAGGAAAGTTTAGAGGCCCGTTTGGGGTCGGGGTTTCCTTTTTTTTTTTTTTGGTTAGAAGGGGGTGGGGTTGGGGGGGGGCCTTTGGGGTTCCGTCTGTCATTTGGCATACGCAGCGAAAAGAAGTCGACGTAAATATTTCGGTTTACAAGTCAGTTTAGTGTCAAAAGAGATGCCTTTTATTTATAGATTGCCCTCGCAGAACTTGGGCTTAACTTGGCTTAGCACAGGGATGCTATCCTATTCTAGGGAAGATAAGAGTCAAGTTTCTGAAATTCAATGGCCTTCATTACTTTATATATTTAGTAATTTAAATAGTTTAAAAACAGGTACTCATTGAACTTAATTTTGAAATAAGATTTAACCTTTACAAATCTTTTAAGAATTAAATAATATAATATGTATAATATATAAATAATATAAATAAAAATATAATATAAAAATATTAATTTTAAAATCAGCATACTTAAGGCCTGTACATTTTTTCACTCATCTCTGAGTAAAATCATTTGAGGCCTTTCGACCAGCGAACCGCTCCTGTTACCCTTTTTCGACACAGGTTTGCTTCTTGGCCGAAAACCTCCATCAAAAATTTCCCTGACTGCAGTTTAGAAGTTTTTATTCGCTCTCGCATTTTCCGACTGGTTTTTCTTTTTCTTTTTTTTTTTGGGGGTGGGGTCCAAAGTCAAATCAAAGTGCTTGGCCCCCGCTAAAGCTTAGTGCTAATGCCGGAGCCATCAGTCTGAACTTTTGGGCCATCTATCAAAGGTTGAAAGGGAAAGGAAACGGAAAAGGGAAAACCAAAGCGGCAATCTCATTAGAAGGCCTCGCCGCGCCGCATCGACACATTCCGTGCCGTATATGCGAAGGCCAGAAATATTTTCCCATGTGCAAGCGGCGAAGAGCCGTCAATTAGGCAGCCACCCAATCATTGCACCCACAACTTGGCTCATTAGACTCCAAACGAATCGGGAGTCATAAAAGTCGGGTCCCCGGTCTTTTCCTCAATTCCTGGTCTCCGATCGCTGCGCTGTGTATAAATAAATATGCTTTTATTCGAAGACGACTACAACTGTTTGCAATAAAAGCAACATTTTTCTTAATTTCCATTTCTTGCTAATTTACCAGCCATAAATTGCCAGCCCGTCTACCCTGTGGGCAGCGAAGTAAACAGTGGCGGGCAGGGGGAGGGGTGGAGGTGGTTCGCAGGGGTTACCAAACGAAACAAGCGGAGCTGAACCAACCGATTCGACGGTAGACACATAAAATTGACTACAAATTATTGCACATTGTCAAAACAACATTGGTTTGCAATTTTCGCGCTTCAACGCAGATGCAAAGAGATAGTCGCCGGCGAATTTGGGAGGGGATCCCGAGGGGTATGGCATAAGTAAGTAATGCCGACTACTCGTACAGGGATAGACAACAGAGGCGGGGTGTGAGGTTTAAAACAATCAGGCAGGGGAGTTCGGTATGCGAGAACACTCTTTGAATCGGGGGTATATTTTACTTGGAACTAGCTATGTGATTTTTATAGAGAATAATTGAATCAATTTCAAGAATTCAGTAAACAGGGATGTTGAAGGCTGTTTTGAGAATGGGTATATTTTTCTGGCTTTTTATTTTTTATTTGTGAATAAGCATTTAATTTTCTGACTATTAAAAAGTATGGAAACCTAAATAGAACTTTTTAAAAAAATATAAACAACAGATTGAAAAGAGTGGATTTAATTTTATTTGTTAAAAAATATAAGTAAAACAAGAAAGAAAGCAAACTTCGGCAAGCCGAAGTTCATATACCCTTGCAGCTATTGCATGAATTAAATACTTTTGAAAACATTTAAATTATGATTTACTTGAGTATATACTGAAAAACAGTGAAGCTATGATGATTTGCAGCTCAATTATTAGATAGTTATTTTATATATTTTTATTAGTTCTATGGGAGCTATATGATATAGACGTCCGATTTTGATAAAATTTAAACCATAATTCTGAAATAATTAAAAATTGCCATATGTCGAAGAACTAAACAAAAAATTAAAAAACAGAAAAGTTATAATTTTTTTCATTTATTTCTCCGATTGTTCCTATGGGACCTATATGATATAGTCGTCCGACTTTGATGAAATTTAAACCGTAAATCGAAAATATTTAACCATTACTAAATGTCGAAGAACTAAACAAAAAATTAAAAAACAGAAAAGTAATAATTTTTTTCATTTATTTTTCCGATTGTTCCTATGGGAGCTATATGCTATAGTCGTCCGATTTTGATGAAATTTAAAACGTAAATCGGAAATATTTAACCATTACTAAATGTCGAAGAACTAAACGAAAAATTAAAAAACAGCAAAGTTATAATTTTTTTTCATTTATTTTTCCGATTGTTCCTATGGGAGCTATATGCTATAGTCGTCCGATTTTGATGAAATTTAAACCGTAAATCGGAAATATTTAACCATTACTAAATGTCGAAGAACTAAACAAAAAATTAAAAAACAGCAAAGTTATAATTTTTTTTCATTTATTTTTCCGATTGTTCCTATGGGAGCTATATGCTATAGTCGTCCGATCCGGCTCGTTCCGACTTATATACTAACTGCAATAGAAAGACAGCTTTTGGGAAAGTTTCATGCAGATAGCTTTAAAACTGAGAGACTAGTTTGCATATAAACGGACGGACAGACGGACAGACGGACAGACGGACAGACGGACAGACGGACGGACAGACGGACATGGCTAGATCGACTCGCCTAGTGATGCTGATCAAGAATATATATACTTTATAGGGTCGGAGATGTCTCCTTCACTGCGTTGCAAACTTCTGACTGAAATTATAATACCCTCTGCAAGGGTATAATAAGCAGCATAAGTAAAAAGCAGTATTAAAATCTATAAAATTATAGTCTGGCACTTAAATTTTGTTTAGGACTGAAAAACGTAATGAGAACCATTAAAATAAGTAATACATGTTTTTATAAATTTTCATTTAGTTCCGCATGAAATAAATATTTTGTTGATGTAAAACAAATTGTATAGCATAGGGCATTCCCCGATCGGCCTAACCCTTTCTAGCCCACCAATTTTATACAGTTTCCTACGGTAATTTGCGCTGAAAACGGTCATATGCAACTGTGAA